AACAGCCGAACTGCAGAACTGCAGTCAGCTGAAGTAGCCTGCAGCGCTGCATTTTCACCACTGCGCCACCTCGGCTCTTCACAAAACTTCACGGGACATTCGAATCCCGCGAGGAACAATAAAAACAGAAGGCGGGGGGAAAAAGTAAAATTTGGAAGAGAACTCACGCGCTGAAACCATTGATCATGTGGGCGTACTTCACCAGGACGAGATCTAGCCAGCCGCAGCGACGCTTACGGCCCGTGGTGACGCCGAATTCCCGTCCTCGTGTTTGGAGCGTCTCGCCGATCTCCTGCGAAGGAGATTTTATTTTTTTAAAAAAGAAATGTACGGTGTGGACACTCCTTAAGCCAAATCCCGATTTTTTTTCCTGCTGAAATATTCAGACATCAACCAAAAAAACCCCCACGTAAGTAACCATGGTAACTGATTAAAATCAGGGTGGGTTTGATTTAAATCAAATCACAGTTTAAATCACCAGTAAAGAGGCTTGATTTTAAATCGACTCGATTTAAATCGTAATTTTTAAAGAGCAGCTGTCGTCTCTCTCCCGCAGTGATTCCTCCTCCTCCTCTGGCCCGCTGTTGACTCACCGACAGTCCCAATATTGCAGAATAGACAGTAGCCTCAAAGGCTACATAACTAAGCTCCATTTCATGCTGAATAACCTAAATTATGAATGTTGTCTTCAATGGAAAACTATCTTGAGATAGATTTTTACTCCAAAAGCATTTGATTAAAATAAATTTGATGAAAGTAAAAAAAAACAAAAAACCCGATTTACGTTTTTAAAAAAAATCCTATTTTTTTTATTTTTTTAATCATCGATTTTTATCTACCCTGGCTAAAATTAGCACATTTTGTATTATTTTGTAATATGATTCATTTATTCGACATTCATCAAGACGATCCAATAGGATTTTATCTTACGGCAAGGAACCAAGTCTCGGAAGGGATGCAAGGTATGTATGTATGTATGTGTTTGTGTGTGTGTGTGTGTGTGTGTATATATATGTTATATTTGTGCTGATAAATAAATAAAGGGAGACACAAATATATCAGCACAAATATAACAAATGTAACAAAAAGGCAACAGTAAAAAANCCTCCCTCATTATTGTAAGCCGCCCTGAGTCCCCTCAGGGAAAAGGGCGGCCTATAAGTGTTCAATAAAACTAAAAAAAAACACCTCAAACTCAAGAGCGAGAGGAGGGATTCTGGGAGTTGAAGTCCACAAGTCTTAAAGCTGTCAAATTTGAACACCTCTGGGGTTTTTTTTCTAAAGGGTTAGGGGTGCAAGGGTCTTGTAACTTGTCAGCTTTAAGACTAGTGTGCTTCAAATGCCAGAGTTTCTGAGCCAACATTTTGATTGCTAAGCAAGAGCGTTGTTAGGTGAGCTTCACAACATTTTACAAGTTGGCCACACCCACCCAGTCACATGGCTGGCAAGCCACTCCCACTCAGTCACATGGCTGGCAAGCCACTCCCATAAAGCAGGCCACACCACTGGAGCACCCTGACGAGAGATTGAATATGTAAAGCTGGGGACTCACTCACATTTACCCAACTCTGGGTTAGGAAAAGGGACTGGCAGGCAATTGCGTTCCCCAACCCCAGCCAATCCTTGGTGAGAAAGGAAGCAAGGAAGCCATCACTTCAGTTGTTCTTTTATCAAAACAGAAAGGACGGTGCCAATAGACAGCACCAGCTGTCTGTTAAGGCTAAATAGGGCTCAGCAGTGGGGGAGGGTGCCAAGTGTTTATGTTACCAACCTTCTCTGGCAGCTCAAGGGCAGCTGCCATCATCTCTTTGCAATGTCTGTGGAGACAAGCAGGTCATGGTTGTCCCAAAGGCGCTTTTTCAAAAGGCAACTGTTTTTCCTTGAAGACGTCGCGCTTCTCATCCAAGAAGCCTCTTCGGTTCTGACTGAACAGTGGAGGGTGGAAGGGTTTATATTCCTCGCACTCCTTCCATCCTCCACCATTCAGTTAAAAATGAAGAAGCTTCTTGAATGAAAAAGCTAAATGTCTTCGAGGAGAAATAAAGAAAGTCTAGTTGCCTTTGCATCTCTTTGCAGTCTTCCACTAGACCTGCAGGCCAAATATAATTTTCCTCCTCAGTTACGATTAAGGATAAATCCTTGTTTTAAATAAGCCGATGTCTTATTTATGAATTACAGGTAATCCCTGACCAGTGGTGGGTTCCGGATCCCGGTGCAACCAGTACGGTGCAACAGGGCCCGGCGTCCCCCCACATGCATGCGTGCGCATACGCGCATGTGTCCTTACCTCTGCGATGCTCCAGCTGCTCGGCGGAACATCGCACAGGCGCCGTACGCTCCGTGCGCAGAAGCGCCGAAGAGCTCAAATGCAGGTAAGGAGCTCGGGCAGGCGGGTGGGCCCTCCAGAGCACCGTACCAGAATGATACGTAGTGCTCCCAGCAGGCACCATACCAGGGCGTACCTCCTGAAACCCACCACTGTCCCTGACTTACACCAGTTTGTTTAGTGACCGTTCAAAGTTACAACAGCACTGAAAAAACTGAGTTATGATCTTTTTTCACACTTAGGACCTTTGCGGCATCTCCCCAGTCACACCATCAAAATTTAGATGCTTGTCAACTGACTCACATTTATGACGGTTGCAGTGTCCCGGTATCATGTGATCCCCTTTTCTCACCTTCTGACAAGCGAAGTCAATGGGGGAAGCCAGAGTCTCTTAACCACCATGTTACTAACTTAACTATTGCAGTGATCCGTTTAACAATGGTGTCAAGAAAGGTCATCAAATAGGGCAAACCCCCTTGTCTCACTTAACCACAGAAGTGTTGTTCTCAATTATGGTCGGAAGTGGAGGACTACCTGCATTGCTTTATAATCCACAAACCAACAAATCACATTGACTGTTCTAATTATGGTATTTGGTTTTTAGTTATGGGGAAGATTATTGTTTAGATAGATTGAAGATACAGTTAACTATCCCTCGCATATGCATTTCCTCAGATTTTAGCTGCATACTAATTACATTGATATTGTTTCCTGATTGCTTATTTGTAGCTTATAACTACCATTAAGTGTTGTACCTTAGGATTATTGATGTTTTGTTTTTTTAATGTACACTGAGAGCATCTGTACCAAAGACAAATTCCTTGTGTGTCCAATCACTCTTGGCCAATAAAGAATTCTATTCTATTCTATTCTATCCTATTCTATTCTTTTTCCTGAAACAAAGGAGTACTGTGGCCAATAAAGGATTCTATTCTATTCATTCTATTCTTTCTTTTTCTATTCTATTCTTTTTCCTGAAACAAAGGAGTACTGTAGCCAATAAAGACCAATAAAGGATTCTATTCTATTCTACTCTATTCTTTCCTATTCTATTCTATTTTATTTCCCGAAACAAAGGAGTACTGTCGTCATAAGTCAAGGACAAGAATCTTGGGGGTGGAGTAGATCAAAGGAGGCAGAGAGACGCAAGCCTCAAGGGAAATGTCTAGTTTGTTTGGAAAAGCCCACGTAGCCTTCCCTCGGCCAACCTCTGAATGCCACGACCGCAACACTTGTGCCCACCTGTTAGAGGTCAACCCTGACCTCGAGCCCTTTGCCCTAATTTTGGAACTCTCCAAAAGACCAAAGTGGGAGGGGCGCCAGGACAAATCCCGAGCCTTTCCTCGCGTGGGGCTTTACGCGTGGGGGCCGCCGTTCCCCGCGACTGGCCGCCGCCTCGCCCTGCCGGCGTCCCCAAGCGAAGCTGAGCCTCCGGCAAAGAAGAGCAAGGACGGCCAGCTCGGGAAGCGGCGGAAGGGCCCGGACTTCCTCTCGCCTCTTCTCCGCCCTCCGTGATTGGCTCGGCCGGATTATGAAATGGGAGGCTGCTCGCCGCCTTTGCCGCAAAAAGTCGCCCGGTTTAAAAAGAGCCCCGCACGGGGCTGCGGAACTAAAGGGCGAGTAAGGTGAGGCTTAGGTCGCCGGAGCGATGAAGTCGGCCCTGGTGCTGCTGGCCGGGTGTCTGGCGCTGACCGCCTATTATGTCTACCTGCCGCTCCCCAGCACCGTCTCCGAGCCTTGGCAACTCATGATGCTGGATGCGATGTTCCGGTTCGTGCAGCAATCGGTAAGAAAATGCGCAGAGGTCCCTCGCTCGCCTACTGGTTCTCCCTCCTTCCCTCCCTCCCTCTTTCCTTCTGTCTGTCTGTTGGTCCCCCTTCCTGTCGGCAGCTCTCTGGGTTCACACGACACGCGCAGTTAACCCGATCAAGAAGAGAGCTAGCGGTTACCTTGGCAGAAGCCGCCCAACACAGTCTCTCTTATCCAGGGTAACAGGATCGAACATCATTCGATCGCCAGTTTCTAATTCCACCCATTGGGTCCCAGACACACACACACACACACACACACACACACACACACACCTAGTTTCTGATTCCACGCATTCGGTCCAAACACACACACACACACACACTGCTAGTTTCTGNGAAAGGACTTGGACTAAAAACAACCATGACTTCCACCATCTGGCTCAAAACCTGGGTTTATGAGCCATTCATTCTTAAACTGCTTAAAGAGAGGTCTAAAGATGAGCTTCTTATCAGCTTCTTAATATGCCATCAGCTTAAAGGAAATAGGAACAGGAGAGAGAGGTGATTGAGGAGGGAAGCAGAACTACCCACATAGTATTTCTCAGACAACCCATTTAAACAGCCTGTTATTTCCTAACTGACTTTCCAAAGCTGCTTTTTCTCCTATTTTGAATCAATGCATGCCAGCACCCTGGACAGTTCAGAGGGAGCTTTTGAGGCAACTCACTATGTTTAGGAAAACTACATTCTCCATATTGGAACTTTATTTTTGCCTTAGAAACTCACCAGGGCTGAGCTTCAAAAAATTTAACAAGGAGTTCTCTGCCTGGTTGCTGGGTGGGCGTGGCCTAGTCAGCCTTATGCACCACAGCAGGGGGGCATTTTTGCCCTCCCAGGGCTCCGAAGCCCTTCCTTGAGCCTCCGGGAGTGGGAAAACAGCCTCCCCAGGCTCCGGAGGCCCTCTGGAGGCCAGAAATGGGCCCGTTTCCAGCCTTCCCAAACTTCCAGTAGGCCCATTTTTCACCTCCCCAAGTCTCCATAGGGGCCCTGCACTTACTGTATTTTTCAGAGTATAAGACACACCTTTTTCCCTCAAAAAAGAGGCTGAAAATCTGGTGCATCTTATACATCAAATACAGCATTTTTGCCTCCTGAACCCCCACCCCTTCACCAAAATGGCCGTGCATAACCTGTAGGAAGGCCCTTTTTTGCTCAATTTTACACCCCTCCCAGCCCTCAGGAGTACTCTGTAAACTTCCTAAAGGCTATCCATGCAGGGTTTTTTTTACGAAAAACAGGCCCATTTTCATGAAAAACAGGCTATTTTCTTGCTCATCCCACTCCCCAGAAGCACTCTGCAAGTCCCCTAAAGGCTATTCATGTCATTTTTGGGGGGGGGAACTGGCCTGTTTTCGCAAAAAACAGGCTGTTTTGGGGAGGTTTGCAGAGTGCAAAAACTTTTTTTTATTTGCCTCTTCAAAACCTTGGTGCGTCTTATACTCCGGTGCATCTTATACTC